TGGGAGCCCTCAGACCCATCATAGCCATGGCTGACCCTTTTGGGAGCCTTCAGCCCCCTTCACAGCCATGGCCGGTCCTGCAGGAAGAAGCTGCTCCCACGAGTGGGTTTTTACCCATGGAAGTGGCCGCTCTGAGTGACCCATGTACCTCTCTCAGGCCATTTTTTCCCTTCTCTTGGCCATGTCTGAAGCCAAGCGGGTGGGCAGGGGTGGCCTCACTGCTGCCGTGCCCACCTCACCTGCTGGGAAGGGGTTCTGCTGCTTGAATCACACCCACCTCCTGCAGCCACCACAGCCCGAGAGCTGCCACTTTGATGGCGTTTTGGGAAGGACACAAAGTTGGTTCAGTTTCACTCCAGTATCAACACACCTTGGTGCTCAAAGGTTGCATTCAAATGACGCTGTGAAGCCTCTGCCCAGGGCAGCAGAGAGGCCACGAGCACTGTGGAGTCTTCAGAACGATTCCTGTGGAGCTGTCATGATCCACTGTTAATACAAGCGGGAGTCGTGATGGCTCGTTTCGATCTCAGGGGTGGCCAGAGGGCAGGGCTGGATGGGATATTGGGCAGGAATTGTTCCCTGGGAGGGTGGGCAGGCTCTGGCACAGGGTGCCCAGAGCAGCTGTGGCTGCTCCTGGATCCCTGGAAGTGTCCAAGGTCAGGTTGGACAGGACTTGGAGCAGCCTGGGATGGTGGAAGGTGTCCCTGTCGATGGGGACACCTTTCCAGCCCAAACCAGTCTGTGATTCTGTAACTTGCTTTCCCCACAAAACCATCACTTGGAGGAGGGGTCTCCCTGGGGTGCACATGCTGGTGAGCCCTGCCAGTGGTGGGATTGCAGACCAGGATCTGCCCCTGCAGCAGGATGTGGGGCTGTTCCAGGGAAGGTAGATGAGCTGGGATGATTTGCCAGGAGCAGCAGGTTCTCTGCAAAACACGGGGGTAAAGGGCCAGTTTGGAATGATTGCTGCCCCACAGGGAGCTCCCCGTGTCCATCCCGGGGCTGGTGTGTGCAGGGAACCATGCTCGGGGGTGCCGGCCCTTCTCCTGTGCCCTGGCAGCTGGGAAGGCCCCGCGGGCTCTGGGTCAGTGCCGGGGGCTGCGTGCTCCTGCCTCAGCCACCCGAAATGTGATCCGAATCCGTAATGCTGTGGGTGATGAAATCGGCTCCAGCTCTGTGTAATCTCCTCACTGCCCCCCTGCATCTCCTCGCTGTCCCCTCCTCCAGCCCGCACTCATCTGCAGCCTCGCACTGTCCCTCTATCCCCACGCCGTCTCCTGTGTCCCACAGTTCCTTTTAGCCCCACATTGTCCCCACACTGTCCCCTCTATTCCCACACTGTCCCCTCCATACCCATGCTATCCCCTCTATCCCACACTGTCCCACTTTCCTCCCACTTCCCCTCTATCCCCAAATTGTCCCTCTATCCCCACGCTGACTCCTCTATCCCCACGCTGTCCCCTCTATCCTGAGGTAGTCCCTCCGTCCCCACACTGACCCCTCTGTCCCACCTTCCCCACTGTCCCCTCTCTCCCACATTGTCCCCTCCATCCCCATGCTATCTCCCCATTCCTACACTGTCCTATCAAACTCCCACCCCGGATACCAGAATCTTCCACCACACAAGCACTGTTCCCTCCACTCCCAGTCCCACAGTCATTCCATCCCCAGTGTCCCTACATCCCAACCCTGTCCGTCAGTCCATCATCCATCCATCCATCCATCCATCCATCCATCCATCCATCCATCCATCCTCCACCCATCCATTCCCATGCTGTCCCACTGAACCCCCACCCATCCCTGGACACCAGAATGTCCCAGTACACAAGCACTGTTCCCCCCATGTCCCTCTATCGCCACACCATCACCTCCATCCCCGTGCTGTCCCTGCATCCCCGTGCTGTCCCTGCATCCCCACGCTACCCCCCCATCTCTCCGCCGTCCCACTGAACTCCCACACCACTGCCGGACACCAGACCGTCCCACCACCCCGCCGCTGCCCCCCCTGCCCCCCACCCCCGCGCCGTCTCCTCGCTCCCCCCTCTCCGCCCGCGGCCGAGCACCGCCCCGCGGGGGATGATGTAACCCCCGTCCCCCCCGTGTCCCGCCCGCGTCCCGCCCGCCGCACACTCGGCGGGCTCGGCGGCGAGCGGACGCAGCCATGTGCCCGTGCGCGCTGCGCGGCCCCCCCGCGCCCTGCAGCCCCTGCGGCCCCGGCCGCGCCGCCCGGCCCGAGGCCGCCGCCCGCCGGGTCGCCGCCCGCCTGCGCCGCCTGGGCGATGAGCTGGAGCAGCGGCGCAAGGCGCGGGGCCGCGGCCCCTCGGCCGCCCGCCGCTTGGCCGCCGTGGCGGGGCTGCTCTGCGCGCTCACGCCCGCGGCCGCGCTGGCCTGGCTGATCCGCAGGAGGAGCCTCTAGGGAGAGGGGCGCTGGACGGAGCGGAGAGCAGGCGGGACGCGCAACAGGTGGGCGCGGGACGGGACGGGGCGGCCGGCGGGGGCTCGGGGCGGGAGCGGGCGCGGGGCTCGGCTCGGTCCGGCCCGGCGGAGCGCGCTGTCCGCGGTACCCGCTCCTCGCCGGGCTGCGGAGGCTGATCGCGACAGCGCGCCGAGCCACGGGCTGCTCGTACAGGCGCTGCCGGGTCGCACCGATCGCTCTCCTTTTCCTCTCACTCTCCTCTCCCCTCTCTCTTCCTCTCCCTGGACTGCCGGTGCCAGGTCGCACCGACCTGTCGCTCTCACCTCTCCCCCCTGTCCCCTCCATCCCCACTTTCCCTCTCTCCTCTCCCCTTTTCCCAGGACACCTCAAACGCCCCCTTTCCTCTTGCCCAAACTTTGACGGTTTCCACTCCCGTGGCTCCCCTCCGCCCGCGCCCCCCGTGCTCTCGGGGCAGTTTGAGCTCCGTGCCCGGCAGGGGCGCGGGGCAGCTCAAGGGGAGCTGAGCAGGTCCCGTATTGTCCCGACTGCCGGTCCCGGGAGCTGGAGGATGCCCCGCACACCCGTGCCTGCCAAACCTCCATCCCTCTTTTCACGGAGGAACTTTCCTTGTGTCCTGTCATTTCCTGGTGGGCTTTAGATGGGTGCCGTGGGGCACCCATCGCTGAGGTCACTGGTGGAATGTCCCCAGTGGACTTTGCAGTGGGGCAGCTGGGACACTGGCTCTGTGTTTTGGATAATGCCTTGCCCGGTGCCAGAGGTTCTCCCCCAGGGGGATCCCAAGCCACTGGCCAGGAAAAGCACCCAAGGGCAGTTACTGCTGGTTCCATGCTCCGGAGCCACTGAGCAAACGAGCAGCAGAGAACTGGGACATTCCTGGTCCTGTAACCTTCGTTGTTGTCATCTGGTGACAGCTCCAGGGCTTGTGAGGACAGCTCTGCATCCTCAGCCCTGGGAGCACTCCAGGATACTGAGCATAAGTGGGGTCACCTCAGGGATTTTGGGTGCTCTCTAGTGTTCTTTGGGTCGTGGATTTGTCACCTACAGACCTAAGGAGCACGGGCTCCTCTTTGGGGAGCTTTAAATTGCATCATAAACACCCCCCGGTGTCTGTGTGTGTTCAGGGAACAATTTCAGCGCATGGCTAACTTTCAGCGTGCACTGGTATCCCACCAGCTTGGATAGGGTAGTGTGGAGGGGAAGTCAGGTTACCAGAGAGTTTAAAAATGAGGTTTTCCAGCAGGTCTGTGTGTTTGCACTGTGTGTGTGCACACTGGGGGGGGCATTGTTGTCATCCATCTGAGCCACAACTGCTGTGTCTGGCGGGAGGTTGCGCTGGTCACCTTTGGAAAGCTTTCTTTGAAACAAAAACAGAGGAGAGCTGTGCGGTTTTGATGAATAAAAGCCTCAATTTCTATAAAAGCAGGCGCTGGATGGTGCCTGCAGGGCTGTGCCCAGCCAAGCCCTGAGAGGTGGTGTCAGTGGTGAGGGACTGTGGTCAGGAGCAGAGCAAACACATCTCTCCCTCCCCATCAGTTTGTGGCAAGTTTGGTTCCAGTGTTTGGAAGCAAACCCACCCGTCTGCCTTGCTGGCCTCTCTGAGCACAAACAGAGTTGAAATCCAAGGGGGAGCTGCAATGATCTCCCTTATCTAATGTCTCAAATGTCCTTTTCTTTCTAACAAGCCAGGGAAATTCCTCCCTGCCCAGTCTGGGACTCCATCCCAAGCAGAGAAGGTGGCAGGTGAGCAGGGCTGGCACAGGGAGCCTGTTAGCTGGCCCTGGTGATACACACACACACTCAGCCCAGGCTTCCTGGCAATCCCACGAGGCCAAAGCTGTTTGGAGTATTAATTTTTGTGAAGGTTTATTGGGCAGACACTATTCTTTTCCCCAGTCTCTTCTGCTGTTGATCCTGGAGTCCTCACTTCCATTTCTGCCTACCAGTTGCTTATAAATGGCTTTGATGAGAGGCTGTGGAAAAGCCAAGCTCATCCCGGGCGCCTCCGAGGCGAATTCCATGGGCAGCACCGTCCTGTCCGCGGCTTCAAAGGCTGCCACAGACACAGTGCTGAGCTGCCTCCAAATGCTCCTGGACACAAATACACGTGTAAAGCTGAAAAGGAG